CAAATTTAAAAACTGGGACTAAGTCGTGGGCCAAACTAATTATTTATTGAAAAAGTCCAATGACATCTGCATGTTTTCTCTTCTTTTGAGACATGTATGTTAAACCTTTTCTTATTAAAATAAATGTTTAATAATAGTTTTGCTTAAACATTGAATCAAGAATAAGCAGAATATAGGCGAGTTTCAGCTGACGTCATTGTTATTAAAAGCCCGCGTTGCTGCTGGGAAATATTTTGGTCAGAGGCAAGAAACACGGTAGCGTCAAACACAGAGCGTAACCTCGCGTATTTATCCCCGATAATGGTAAATTCCTGCTGCATTATCGGATGCACAAATAGAACTAACGGTGAATTAAACGTCTTTCAAACATCCGCAGAGCAAACGTAGAAGATCCTAACAAACCGTGGACTCCAACAAGTTCAACAACACATCGAGACTCTTGGAGGTTTTCATCTTTTCTGCTGTGAATGGCCCAGGAGTTTCCACCAAGTCATTGTGGATGTCGCCCAAGTGAATATTTGTCCAGGTAGTTGGCGATTCTGACCAGAAATTTGGTTTGGTCCACCTTTTGTCGGGGTTGAAAAGGGTGATTTGTCGTCCGTCGATGCTTATGACCAATTTCTGGTCAAATGGTCTTGGGTCCTCTGCCGTTAGACTGGATAAATAACCGGGATCAATACCCTTTACGTGCTTTCTCGCTCCGTCCGTCATGTTGAATTAGTGTTTTTTGCCGCCGACCGAAATAATTCCCAGCATGCAACGCGCGCTTTTATCAACAATGAAACTCGCCTATATGATCGCACTTGTCCAGTGTCAGACCTCGAGTGAGAGACAAGACCGAGTCCAAACGCGATCGAGTCCGAGACGAGTACTAGGACACTGTGATCTACCCACACGACCTTGGGGATCGACTGGTAGATCGCGATCGACGTATTGAGCATCACTGCTTTACACCTTTCTATCTCTATGGACCCAAACCAGACCAAGTTACAGGTCAGATCTGTGGAGCGGCAGAAGCAGAGGAAAGACAATAGATCTATAGAATCGAGCAGGTGACAAACCGCAAACCGAAAAGTTACACAGTTGTACTTCGCCTTTAAAGCCAAAACCAGAGCGTACGTTTCTCTTGAGATGTGTGTTTGTGCAGATTCGAGTGCGTCGCCGCGTTCTGGCCGTGTTACATAACTCTGTGAGAATGAGCGGAGCGTTATTGGAAACACAAATCAATGAGGATGAGAAATGCCGGGGCCGTGTGTGTGTGTGTGTGTGTGTGTGTGTGTGTGTGTCTCGGTGGACGCAGAGTGTGTTTATTAAAATGGAGAGAGATCAAAACGAAATATCGAGGAGCATTTGTTTCCTCGGCGCGGCGTCCCCCCTGGAGCCACTGTCCTGCTCTTCTATGTGCGCCACGGACATTTGTATTAAAGACGTTCCGCGCTCGTGGCCGTGCACTTATAATCCATGACACCAGCGGATCGTTATGTTTTACTTTGGACGTTTTAAATCGCAATATTGATCTGAAGCAACTTAAAGCGCCCGTATTACGCTGTTTTCTGGTATTTTCTGGCTACGTGATCATGTTTCCTCATCACCTGGAGTTGTGTTTTGGTTGCATATTTAGGCGGAGTTCTTCTCTCAAATGGAAAACACGTCATTCGGTAATACAGGAAGTGCTCTGTCTCACTTTCATTAGAAGCATTTGGATGATTTCAGCTCTGGAATCGCCAATCTCTACCGAACTGAGGTTACGTTTACACTGAAACGAATCACTGTATAGGAAAAGATTTGAGTCCAGACAGGTCATTTCTGTGTCCGAGATTGTTCCATCTCCGGAGCCGTTTTCCATCGGATTATGAGAAAAGTTTATGAATAATCCAGAGAGATAATTAGGGATTATTCATACATTTTTCTTATGGCGTCTTGTCGTCTCCGGGTGGGTGGGGAGTCCCTGTCTCAAGTGGAGGAGTTCAAGTATCTCGGGGTCTTGTTCTCGAGCGAGGGGAGGATGGAGCGTGAGATTGACAGGCGGGTCGGTGCAGCGTCGGCAGTGATGCGGTCGCTGTATCGGACCGTTGTGGTGAAGAGGAGCTGAGTCGAAAGGCGAAGCTCTCGATTTACCGCTCAGTCTACGTTCCTACTCTCACCTCTGGTCATGAGCTCTGGGTAGTGACCGAAAGGACGAGATCGCAGATACAAGCGCTCGAAATGAGTTTCCTCCGCAGGGTGTCTGGGCGTCTCCCTTAGAGACAGGGTGAGGAGCTCAGTCACACGGGAGGAGCTCGGAGTAGAGCCGCTGATGCCTCCTGGGTGCCTCCCTCTGGAGGTGTTCTGGGCATGTCCCACCGGGAGGAGGCCCCGGCGGTGAATTACTTGGCGGCGCACAGACCTACATCAGAGTATCAGTGTTTTCAGGCGTCCACACGGTGTCGGATCAGATCTGTACGAACATGAATTCGTGGGAGTTGGAGGCACCAGATCGTTCCGTCTCTGGAGCCGTTTTCAGTCGGATTAGTTTGAACGAACACTGCATCCACAATGAAAACCACTCGAATACGAACTAGTGTGGAGAAAAATGTGTGAATAATCGTTATTAATAATAGTTTAGAGTAAAGTGTATTGAACTTTTCTGGTGCTGTGGACACAACTAAATCCAGGCACTCCATAAAAAGTAGAAGTCGCACGTGGAAAGTAGGTGTTAACTTGGAAACTAACACTGGAACAGAGCATTTAGATCTTTGAAGATAATGATAAAAATAATAACAAGTCTTTCTTTATAACACACTTTTAAAAACAAGTTTTACAAAGTGATGTATAAGCAGTGTGGTGAAGCTGGCCAAAGTAGGAGGCAGAGTCAAAAATGTCCATTTCACCAAAAGTTATATTTTCCTGAGTTCACCAGGACTTTGTGACAAAAAAAAAACAATATTTACACAAAAATAACTGTGCTTAAATCTATTCAAAGCAACAGAAATTAATGAAACAAAGGAGAAACCCACGTGTACATGGGCGACACTGAGACACGCTGAACTGCAACAAATTTATAGTTTCCCCCCACAGGAAGTACCTCCCTCCCTCCAGGTCAGAGCAAACAAACTCAGGTCGTCTCTTCTGGCCATTTTACATATTTCCAAAGTGTTCTGTTTGTTATTATTTTATATTCTGCTTGTTCTGGATTCAATGTTTAAGCAGAATTATTATTAAATGTGTATTTTAATAAGAAAAGGTTTAACATTACAGATCCCGAAAGAAGAGAAAACATGCAGATGGTGCAGAAATTCTTCAATAAATATTTAGTTTGGCCCACGACTTAGTCCCAGTTTTTAATTTTGGCCCAATGTGCATGTGAATTTAACTCTCACGTCTTAGCTCATATTGGTTATTTTGAATTTTGAGCATATTCTGTAATGATTTTGACAAGATATTCTCTAGAACAGGGTTAAAAGCTCTTAAAAGTCAATTTTTCTACTCATTTTTCTCAGTGTAGCGCCACCTATGTTTCAGAGTACAGCTTTACTCACCGGTCCAGTCTCTTGTTCTCTTTGTTTGATCAAAATTAAGAGTTAAAAATAAATTTGCTTTTGTTTTTTTTCTCTTTTGATATTCTCACAATCAATGTTTCGTCAATGAATTCTGTTTTCGTGTCGGTTTAGGTTTCATATTTTTGTCCAAAATTTCCAAAAAGCTCCAAAAGTTGACAATTAAAATATCAAAATTTCACTTTTTTGTTTGAGAATATTTTTAAAGCATTTCTTTTAAGAGGGCAGGACTCATGAGGAGTACAGACGCATGAATGTTCAAACAAACTCTCCAGGTTCAGACAAAAAGGAAGAAAATTACTGCCCTCTAGTGGCTGAAGTCAAAACAGCCCCTGCTAAAACAGAAAGACTGCCCCCTAGTGTTTTCTCTGTGTCCTGCCCTCTGAAAATTAACAGTTTTAATTATTTTTAAGTGTCAGAAGTGAAGTTTGTGTCTCATGAATGACCAACAGGGGGCGACGTCACATTTAAGCTGAGAATCTTGCCACAAAACCAAATAAAACGAAGTGAGTTTTTTACAGTAAATTGTGTTAAAAGGGACAAATCTCCAGAACTGAATTTCTTGTTTTTTCCTCTTTGCAAACTATTGTATTATCCTCTATATAAAAGAATCTATTTATGTTGTACAAATATAAAATGCATTTTTACTTCTGGTGCATCAGGAGCTCGTGTTCGGGGCCATTCGAGAATTTCGTGCCATAATTTCGCAAACTGGGAAAGTCCTGCTTCGCTTTTTGGAGTTTCGCAGAAGAACGGCTCACAAAACGAACACTGTACACAGTTTTTGACACAAATTACGTATAGATACTTTGCAGAGGATGCTAACTGGAGGCTCTACTCTGTCTGAAGGTTTGTTACTCAACTTTAATCTGAGTTTTGTTCTAACGCAAAAATCTAATTCCTAAACAGAAACATGAACAATTCTCCTGAAAATGTGCTTTTTAAATCAATTTTGTGTTTTTTCTTGAGTTTTCAGACAACCTTGCAACTTTTTTGACAGTGTTTGCTACCGTGTGCATTGTATCACCATGGTAACTGCTGAAAATTCCACCATAGAGATGCATGTAGAACCCCCCTCCAGGTTTATGTCACTGCAAAGTATCAATTTTACCTCAAAATTTCTATAATATGCAGATTTCTTTTTGGGGTTGTAGTTGTATTTTTGGATGTTTTAAATTTCAGAAACGCCAATTGGCTTTAAATTTCACCCAAAACTTAAATTTAAAAAAATAAAAACGTGATTTTAATGAGATCAAGAGTCTGTTTTGGTTGAATCACTGTGTACAAAGGATTGAGAGAGAAAAAAAAACTAGTTGTTATTTTTGAATGAAAGCTTCTCCAGAAATTTTTCCAGAAATGCCATAAAATTGGTTTTATATTTCGCCAAAATGATTTAACCTTTTGACTGAATTTTTGCTGTTAAGAGTTTGATGATTTTTTTTCCTGGTTTTGTTTCGTTTTTAGCTCCAAAGAGGAAGCAGGACTTAAGCTGAAGCTGAGACGACGGTGGAAACGTGACTGGGTTTTTCACAGACCTGATGGTGGTGGTTTCAAGTACAGAGTTTTATTTTAAACAGGACGTTTCATACATGTAACTGTCTTATTTTACCTTTTTAATTTTCCCATCAAATTAAATCGTAGACATCTTAAAACTGATCAGATTTAACTTTACCCTTAAGTGGCACGAGTCTGATTTTAACAGGTCTAAAACAGGTCTAAACTAGAACTAAACCAGGACTGAGTGCCGCGATGGGCCCAGAGGTGCGCCCACGTAGACTGTCGGGTGACCACAGGCAGAAGGACCGGTGCAGAACTCCACGACTCAAGGGGCTTTGAGCAGCCATCACCTTGCTCCACGGGCTCAGGGTTCTCTCTCTCTCAAGTCCAAGGTTTGCCCTGGTTTAGTCCTGATTTAGACCTGGTTTAGATCTGGTGTTGTCCTGGTTCAGACCTGGTTTAGTCCTGGTTTAGACCTGGTTTAGACCTGGTTTAGTCCTAGTTTAGTCCTGGTTTAGTCCTGGTTTAGGGTTTACCTGGTTTTAGACCTGGTTTAGACCTGGTTTAGTCCAGGTTTAGTCCGGGTTTAGATCTGGTTTAGTCCTGGTTTAGTCCTGGATTAGTCCTGGTTTAGACCTGGTTTAGTCCTGGTTTAGTCCTGGATTAGTCTGGGTCTAGACCTGGTTTAGACCTGGTTTAGTCCTGGCTCAGACCTGGTTTAGTCCTGGTTTAGTCCTGGATTAGTCCTGGTTTAGAGTTTAGACCTGGTTTAGACCTGGTTTAGACCTGGTTTAGTCCTGGTTTAGACCTGGTTTAGTCCTGGTTTAGTGGTTTAGTCCTGGTTTAGACCTGGTTTAGACCTGGTTTAGTCCTGGTTTAGTCCTGGTTTAGTCCTGGGTTTAGACCTGGTTTAGTCCTGGTTTAGACCTGGTTTAGACCTGGTTTAGACCTGGTTTAGTCCTGGTTTAGTCCTGGATTAGTCCTGGTTTAGACCTGGTTTTAGTCCTGGTTTAGTCCTGGTTTAGTCCTTTAGTCCTGGTTTAGACCTGGTTTAGACCTGGTTTAGTCCTGGTTTAGACCTGGTTTAGACCTGGTTTAGACCTGGTTTAGACCTGGTTTAGACCTGGTTTACTCTGCCTGGCAACAAGTGACGGCTGAAATGTGATGGTCAAACGCTTTAATATGAAAACACATGTGGAAGCAGCACAAGCATCAGAAAAACTGTGAAAGGAAGAGGACAGAACATGTGGAATTATTTAATAATAATATAATCAACACCAGTCTGAGATTCAGAGATGTTTTTAGGCAGACAGTCCGCCACGGGATTTTAAACAGTATAAATGACGTAGATTCTGCCTTAAATCTGTCATATCTGCACATCTGGTTCACTTTTCATGTTCTTAAATCATCAGAAATGTTCCTTGGAGATGTTTGTGAAAAACAGACTTCATTATAAAACCTGCGCGTGTAACGTTTAGTGACACTGACACTTTAAATGACGTGACAAAGATAAAATAACGAAAACACTCTGACTAATGCGCAGATGTTAAAATCACTCACCTCAAGTCAACTTCAGTTTGTGATTTAATTTTCTACAATCCACATTTCTAAACCGTCAATTAATCGCAAAATATAAAACATGAGAAGAGTGTTTTTCAGAAAGTGTTTCTCTTCAGTCGACTTTCTCTTTCTCTCTCTAATTACCTGGTTTAGTCCTGGTTTAGTCCTGGTTTAGTCCTGGTTTAGTCCTGGTTTAGACCTGGTTTAGTCCCCTGGTTTAGTCCTGGTTTAGACCTGGTTTAGTCCTGGTTTAGTCCTGGTTTAGTCCTGGTTTAGACCTGGTTTAGTCCTGGTTTAGACCTGGTTTAGTCCTGGTTTAGACCTGGTTTAGTCCTGGTTTAGTCCTGGTTTAGACCTGGTTTAGACCTGGTTTAGACCTGGTTTAGTCCTGGTTTTAGACCTGGTTTAGTCCTGGATTAGTCCTGGTTTAGACCTGGTTTAGTCCTGGTTTACCTGGTTTAGTCCTGGTTTAGTCCTGGTTTAGTCCTGGTTTAGTCCTGGTTTAGACCTGGTTTAGTCCTGGTTTAGTCCTGGTTTAGTCCTGGTTAGTCCTGGTTTAGTCCTGGTTTAGTCCTGGTTTAGACCTGGTTTAGACCTGGTTTAGACCTGGTTTAGTCCTGGTTTAGTCCTGGTTTAGTCCCTGGTTTAGTCCTGGTTTAGTCCTGGTTTAGACCTGGTTTAGACCTGGTTTAGTCCTGGTTTAGTCCTGGTTTAGAGGTTTAGTCCTGGTTTAGTCCTAGTCCTGGTTTAGAGTCCTGGTTTAGTCCTGGTTTAGTCCTGGTTTGTTTTAGACCTGGTTTAGAGTCCTGGTTTAGACCTGGTTTAGTCCTGGTTTAGTTTTAGTCCTGGTTTAGTCCTGGTTTAGACCTGGTTTAGTCCTTTAGTTAGTCCTGGTTTAGACCTGGTTTAGTCCTGGTTTAGACCTGGTTTAGACCTGGTTTAGACCTGGTTTAGACCTGGTTTAGACCTGGTTTAGTCCTGGTTTAGTGGTTTTAGACCTGGTTTAGACCTGGTTTAGTCCTGGTTTAGTCCTGGTTTAGTCCTGGTTTAGACCTGGTTTAGACCTGGTTTCTTTCTCTCTGTAATTAACCCTCACGCTTTTTTTCCTTCAGGTTAATCAAACCCAGAAGTTTAATTTGTCGCCTGCCGAGAATTTATTTGAAAATAAATTTTTGAGTCTGAATGAGAAACCCCCAAGACAGCGGGAAGGAAAAAATAATATTTCTTCGGGTCCGTGTGACCCCGAGAACGTGAGGGTTTTTTAATAGACTAGGATGCTAATCGACAATACACACACTAACAGTTTTTGAATCGTTATGAGACTCTAGTTGGATCATCCCAATAAAAACAAAAACTAAATCCAATATCGATGTAAAAATGCATTTATACCCAGTGTTGGGAAGGTGACTTTTAAAATGTAATCCCCTACAGATTACAGATTACATAACCCAAAATGTAGTTTGTAACGTAATCCATTAAATTACTTAAAGTGAGTAACGTAATCTGAATACTTTGGATTACTAGAGAAGCAAAGACGATGAACAAAATGATCATAAAGACACATTCCAACGTCTGAACAATGAAAAGTCCTCAAAATGGCGCCTGTGAACGCCCATAAGAGTAAAGTGACCCAAGAAAATCCCAGTTTTGTCCATTTTCTCAGCAGATTTATCCAAAACCAGTGATTTGTCCCAGTTTATTTTTGCAAGAAATGTCCCTATTTTGACCAATTTGATCTAAACCAGGTCTAAACTAAGACTAAACCAGGACTAAAACAGGTCTAAAACAGGACTATTACAATTTTTGACTAATTTAATCCTCGCCAACAGTAAAGAGGAGCAGAAATTGTGATTTGTTTCACCAAAAACTGAAAACCGTGTTTACAAATGATCATAAAGACACATTCCAACATCTGAATGGCAAAAAGTCCTCAAAATGGCGCCTATAAACACCTATAAGAGTAAGGTGACCCAAGAAAATCCCAGTTTTGTCACTTTTCTCAGCAGATTTATCCAAAACCAGTGATTTGTCCCAGTTTATTTTTGCAAGACATGTCCCTATTTTCACCAATTTGATCTAAACCAGGTCTAAAACAGGACTATTACCATTTTCTGATCCTCGACAACAGTAACGAGGAGCAGAAACTGTCATTTGTGTCGCCAAAATACTGAAAATCGTGTTTGCAAATGACCAAAAAGACACATTCCATCTTCTGAACGGTGAAAAGTCCTCAAAATTGCACCTATAATCACTCCGCTGAAACTCATGTTATGATTTTTTGTTTTTATTTTTTTGAGGCTTTAGAGTAAATCTGATATTATTTTTCTACCACCATCGACTTCCCTGTGAAAGACCCATTTACCGTTTGGATAAAAGTTTGTGTTTGTTTGAATGAGAAGATCTTGGACTCGACAAAACCAGAGGAGATTCACCGGACGACGACTGTGACGCTGCCTGTAGAGACCGGACGCTCTGCTGTGTATGTGATCCTACTACTACTACTACTACTACTACTACTACTACTACTACTACTACTACTACTACTACTACTACAACACTGTGGGTACAATACTGCAGTAGTGACTTTTTGTACTCTCCTCCTCCTCCTCTTCTTCACAAACAGACTGTGTTCAAATCTTTAAATCGACACGTTTACAAAAACTCTGGCCTCAAGTGCCAAAGGAGCGGGACTGAGGGGGCGGAGCCAGCTGATCACTCTTCTGTTTACCTTTTATTTGAACTTAAAGCTGCGCTGTGTAACTTTTCCGGCGGAGGGTCCGTCGTTTGAACGCTTTTTTTTTCTTCGTGGAGATGTTCTCGCTTGCTTGCTTTGTCTGGAATGTTTCGCAGTGTGGCATTAACAGTCGGGGGCCCTAGGCGAACTTGAGTTTTAATGTTTTGTTTTGATTTTTTTAATATATTTATTGTCTATTTTTCCCCATGATTCTTGTGACTTGCACATTTATTTATTTGAATTATTTCTGTTTATTTGAAACTTGTCTTATTAGTTCGGTCGTCTACTAGATAACCAAAAATTAAACTAGTTTTATTTTTTTGCCACTACAGTTACATTTTTGTTTACATCCATTACATATGATGATTTTATTTTTTCTTATGATTATTGTTTAAATTTAATGTCATATTGAGGGAAAAGCAAACTGCTCTGAGGCCTCGTCCATTAGTGGCACTGAGGGAAATTGTTTGGGGGCCCCTCCAGATTTGGGGGCCCGAAGCAGCCGCCCACTTTTGCCTAATGGTTGCGCCGCCTCTGGGCATTAAACCGCTCTATCTTCACGGAGGACACAGTCTTATACTGCGTTCAGACTGCAGCCTGAAGTGACCCAAATCTGATTTTTTTGGCCCCTATGCTCCTGAATCTGATCTTTTAATGACAGTCTGAATGACACAGATCAGATTTTTTTTCAAATGTGACCCAGGACACTTGGATATGTGCTCCTGAAACTGATACATATCTGATCTTTTGACATGTGAC